CAAATGAACAATAACCGGTTGTAGATCTTCTATCCGTTAATTCACTTGCCCAGCTTGAATCTGAAAAAATTCTTACTGTTCTATCATCACTCTTTCTAAAAATTAACCCATGTCATGGTGTCATTTTCAAGTATCTTAGAATTTTATTCACAGCCTCTAAATGTTCTTCTCTTGGATCATTCATACATTGACTCACTATACTGACAGGAAATGTAATATCAGGTATAATAAGTGATAAATAAATTAGTTTACCTACTAGCATTTGATATTGTTCTTTGTTAACGAGACTTCCCAATTTTTCTCTCCTTAGCTTAAGATTTGCTTCCATGGGTGTTTCTGATGGCTTACATCCCTTCATTCTAGTTTCTGATAGTATATCAAGGATATATTTCCTTTTATTGATCACTATTCTTTCATTTGACCTTGCAACCTCCATGCCAAAGAAATACCGTAAAGTTCCCACGTCTTTGGTTTCGAACTCCTTCGCCAGCAGCTTTTTCAGTCTTTCTAACTCCATACAATCATCACTGTTAGAATGATATCATCCACATAGACAATCAAAATTACATTTTTTGTTGTTTGAAGCTGTTTTGACAAATAAAGTGTGATTCGACTGACATTGCTTGTAACCATCCTGAATAATCACCTTTGTAAATCTGTCAAACCAGACTCTTGGAGATTGCTTATGTCCATACAAGGACTTTAGTAATCTACATGCTTTTCCTGTATTACTCTTCACACCTGGTGGAATTCACATATATACTTTCTCCACTAAGTTTCCATTTAGTGATGTCCAACAGATGAAGCACCTAATTCTCATTGACTGCTAATGACAGTAACACTCTCACAGTGTTTAGTTTTGTTACCGGAGCAAAAATTTCATGATAATCAACTCCAAAAGATTGAGTGAATCCTTTCGCCACTAATCTCACCTTATATCTTTCAATGCTACCATCAACTTTGTATTTTACCGTGAATGCTCATTTGCAGCCGACTGGTTTTTTATCTTTCGGAAGATCAACTATAATCCAAGTATTGTTGTTTTCTAGTGCTTTTAATTCCTCTTCTACTGCCTTTTTCCACTTGGGATCTTTCAATGCTTCTTCCACCGTATCTAGAACAGAAATGCTATCTACACTTGTTGTAAAGTTCTTAAAATAAGGCGTTAGCTTTCCATATGCAATAAATCTCTCAATTGGATAATTTCTGCATTTTCTTACTCCTTTCCTTTGAGCAATCGACAAGTTATTATCATTAATTAAAGCGTTTAATTCAATTCTAGTTCATGACAGTGTCCATGATGTGTGGGAGACTCGAGATTAGGTTCAGGGATTGATTTAGAAATTTGTTTTCGTCGTCTCTTGTAAATTTGCAATTCAGATTAAGGTATTCGAGGTGAAGTGATATGTTGATCATGCCGAGGTAAATATGTTTCGGTGGACTGGTTTAGCAAGGATACATTTTCTGGGTTCGATAGTGTTGTTTGGTCTGGCTGGAATGATTTTGTAGGCTTATTCGACTTGTTTAACTGGTTTGACGGTATTGGTTGATCAAAAGGAGCTGGGTGCAAATCAAGTGACAATTATTGTGAGTCAGCAAACTGATATTCATTATATGACTCCCCATGAATAGCAGTTTTAAGGAAAAAAGGTATTTTTTAAAAGAAATTAACGTCCATAGTAATAAAGAATTTCTTTGCATGAGGATAATAGCACCAAAAACCCTTTTGAGTCGATGAATAACCCAGAAACACACACCAAAATGCTCGAGGATCTAATTTGGACCTGAAAGGAACATTGTTATGAACGAACACAGTACAACAAAAAACTCTAAGGGGTAACAATGAAGTCATCGGTTTAAAATTGGGAAAAAATTGAGGAAAAACATCTCTCGGACACTTAAATTGTAATGGTTTACTAGGGAGACGGTTAATAAAATAAGTGGCAGTTAAAAGGGCTCCCCCCCAAAAGTAGTTAGGAACATTTGTGGAAAAAAAATAAAAACTGAGTAACCTCAAGAAGATGCCTGTTTTTTCGCTCAGCAATCCTATTTTGTTGAGGAAAATTGACACACGAAGTAAGATGAATAATCCCGGTTTCTTGAAAGAAAGAACCCAAAAGATTGGCAAAATACTCAGTACCATTATCAGAATGAAACACTTAGATAGAACACTGAAATTGAGTTTCAACCATCTTATGGAACCTTTTAAATATTTCACAAGCTTCAGATTTGGTTTTCATGAAAAGGTCCAGGTAGTACTGGTGGCTGTCGAATCCAACAAATAATAATACTTGCTTTTGGAAATAGAAAATTGTAGTAGCGATAAGCAAGGTCGAATCCACATGGATTGAGTAGATTTATTTTAATGAAAATTAAAGCAAAGAAAAGGGGTTTTAAAATTGAGAAAAGTAAAAATAAAAAGCAGATCTAATCAACTAAAAATTGAGAGAAATTAATATTAAGAAAATATCCAACTAAAGGTATAATTTCATAATTGGTTCAGAGAATTGATCATAGATGCAATGATAAAATCTTCTACTTTCACTAAATTGGTTATGGTTATTGAGAAGCTCTAACAACCTGTCTCTCCTTAGTTTCTCGATAATCAAGAGAAACTCTCTTTGATTATTTCCCTAGTTAATGAACAACCCTAGACAAGCTCTTAAGATTTAATCCACCAACATCATTAATCACTAGAGGGACCACCAATTCTAGCCAACGAATACACAAGCTCGATTCATTTAGACTAGGTTATGTACCATCATAACATAATCATAATCAACCATGATACTTTACCACTAATATTAGAACGTTTAAACAATTATGGATTTAAAGTTCTAAATGGCAATTTATCAACTTGATAATTGAACAACGGATCCTTTGCATAATCAATCAAGACAATAATTCTTAATAAAAACAGAAGATATATAAATAGCAAAGAAGTAGAAGAACAATGAAAATTATTTAGATCTCATAATCCTTGAAGAACCAAAGCTTCAATTATCCTCCAGTTGGAACAAAAGTATTTAGTTACTCATAATTGAAAGAAAACCAAAAGAAAATAAAGAAAACTTAATGTAAAACTTGATGTAAAACTAATGGCCCTAGCTCCCCTTTTATAAGGATTTTCCTATTCTAGATAAAGAAGTTTCCCTTAAAGAAAATCCCACAAAAATAGGAGTTTTAAATGCCCTCATCTTTTTCTAAAGATAAGAATAATTCAAAAGAGTCATCCAGCCGTCATTAAACTCTTTTTCCTTTGTAAATTCGTAACCCTAATTTAGGGTTGTACGAACTGGTAAGGCGCGCCCACGCTTTAACTGAAGACTTCTTATGCAGTAGTTTAGGATGAATAAGCCGTGCCCACGCCTTACGTGAAAACCTCTTCTGGTCTTGCTAGCTTCTTGAATTTTGATTTTTCCTCCTTAATTCGGGGATTTTGTGAAGATCATGCTAATCATAAGATTTTGAACTTGTTTTATCCAAATCTTTAACCTAATCCACAAAATACGAAATATAATCAAAATCCAGAATTTAATCAATTTTAGTTATTCAAATATGAGGAAAATATCATAGAATATATGTCTAATATGCATCTTATCAAATTCCCCCACACTTAAACCAATGCTTGGCCTCAAGCATACAATAGTTCAAATTCACAACTCTTCTCAACATCAATCCTTCTTCTTCCTTTGTTCATCTTTCCACAATCAAAATTTTCATGCCTTAAAGACTCAAATCTAGACATAAGTAAGGAACGAGCAAATCGTAGAAGAAATTCTCATAAACCAACACACATGAATAATCACTCCACCAATCTTTTCGAAATAAAATGCAGTGGGATCTAATACCCTCACATTGGATTCACTCAATACTCTCGAAGTGTTTAAGGGTGTCAACAAACTCTCAAGAAAAATCATAGAAAAGTTTTACCATAAGCTTGCTAACCTATCACATCCCCACCACTAGTCAATGAATTGAATGCATAAAAACCTAAGGGTCTTAAACAGGGTGTAATGGGGCTTAGGTGAGGTTTGGTAAGAGAGGAATTTGAGCTGTTTTTATTGAAGGAGTCACACAAACTTATCCACATGGAACTCAATCTTCAAATGTTCTCTTCAAGCCATATAACTTTTTTTTTCATTGCACAATCTCTCTTTCTTTATTTCTTTTTCTTTTCTTTATTTTTCTTTGTTTTTCTTTTTTTTATTAAAGAGATTGCAACTCGAATCACTATATTCCAACATCTTCCGATCTTCTTAAGATAATTTGAATTTTCATGTGAAGAAGCTCATACAATCCTTCAATTCAAGGTTCAAAAGAGGGGAAATTAACAAAAAAGATTTGTTGTTTGCTTGTACCATGGTTAATTTCAAACAAAAAGGCTCAGACTCAAAATTGGCTTTCTAAGGATACTAATTAGGGTAGGCTCTTTACGAAAGCTAAAAGTGGTTTTACCTAAATGCCCTTATCATTCTTGATGCATCCAATTCTAAAATGTGGTCTTCGACATGTATAACAAAGCAAGTTCTAGAAAAATTAACTATATATGGCAATCACTCAATCAAGAAATGGAGGACGCTGAAAGTGAGTGCTCATTGGCCCAAAAAATCATAAAAAAGGGTAAACATGTATCAAATCCCATACATTTTTCATTCAATCAGTCATCAAGTGTAATCAACCATTGTGTAGCAAATAAGAATTCAACTACTCAAGCTAATCCCCTACTATACTTCAACTTAATTCGATAATTCACAACAATCCAAATCATGTAAAGATAAACATCGAAAGAATCTGGAATTTTGAAGAGAAAAATAAAAAAAAACTAAAGCATACTTTTTTTTAAATTTTTTTTGAAGCAACATTATGTTCAGAGCAAAACCATGTATGAAATACTCTCCCCCACACTTAATCCATACATTATCCTCAATGTATCAAAAGTAGATGTTCAAAAACCATAAAAGAATAAGAGTACAAAACTCCCTTGAAAATGTTGAGCATCAACCATGATATCTGTCACGAGCTGGGGGTGAAGGTGTTGTTCGTCGGCCGGGTTGGTTATCGGTCTGAGCGGAGAAGTGGGTCGGGTAGAGCGCGAAGGACATTTTGTGATGCGCATTTTTCTGAAGGAGCACAAAAAATCAAGAAAAGATAAGGCACATCTATATTTTAAAAAGTTTCTTTGAATCTTGTTTCCTAAACCAGAAGTGGTGTTGAGTTTAGACGTGGGCACGACTTACACAAAAACATCTTCTGGATAGTGAGAGACTTTAGAAATAATTTTGCTTTTGTAAGGCGTGCCCACAGGTTGCAAAAATTCATCTTCTGACCTAAAGAGGAAACAAGATTAATTGTACTCCAATAGTCATGGAAAAAAATAAAAATAAAATTGAAAATAAAAACAACGATAATAGAAATTGAAAAAGGAAAAATTGGGTTGCCTCCCAAGAGCGCCTTTCTTTAACGTCTTTGGCTAGACGTTGTAGCTTCTCAATCTTCATAAATTGGGTACTCCAAAATGGCTCGATCAACATTATACACCTGAAAACCTTCATAAAAAGGTTTCAAACAATGACCATTAACCTTAAATATTTTGAATGTATCCAAACTTTGTATTTCAACTGCACCATGAGTAAAAATATTAGTAACAACAAAGGGTCCAACCCATCTAGAATGCAATTTACCAGGAAATAATTTCAATCAAGAGTGATAAAGTAGAACTTTCTGACCGATAGAGAAATTTTTCCTGGAAATTGTATGATCATGGAAGGTTTTGGGTTTTTCCTTGTAGATTCTTGAGCTTTCATAAGCATCATTACAAATTTCCTCTAGCTCTTGCAATTGTAATTTCCTTTGAACATCCGACTCATCTATTTCCATGTTGCATTGCTTTATGGCCCAATATGCCCTGTGTTCTAACTCTACTGGAAGATGACATGGCTTTCCATATACCAAATGATAAGGAGACATACCGATAGGGGTTTTGTAAGCCGTACGATAGGCCCATAGTGCGTCATCGAGTCGCATACTCCAATCCTTCTAATTTAGGTTGACAGTCTTCTCGAGTATGGATTTGATTTCTCTATTGGATACCTCAGCTTGCCTGCTAGTTTGTGGATGATAAGCAGTAGAAACACGGTGGATAACATGATATTTCCTGAATAAGGCTTCCATCACTCTATTACAAAAGTGAGTTCCACGATCACTGATCATGGCTTTTGGTGTGCCGAACCTAACAAAAATGTGAGATTTGACAAAATCTACAATGACTTTAGCATCATCAGTTCGGGTAGCCTTAGCTTCTACCCATTTTGAAACATAATCCATAGTAAGAATAATGTAGATATTACCATAAGAAGGAGGGAAAAGACCCATGAAATCAATACCCCATACATCAAATATCTCATAGACAAGAATAGGATTTAGGGGCATTTGATCTCTATGTACTAGGTCTCCAGTTCTTTGGCATTGTTCACAGGCTTTACAAGACATATATGAGTCATGAAACAATGTAGGCCAAAAAAATCCACATTTTAATACCTTGCGGGCTGTCCTTTTAGGACCAAAATTTCCTCCACATGCATATGAGTGACAAAATTTTAAGATGGAGGGGATTTCCTGCTCTAGACAGATCATCTGGTAGTTTTCTAGTAAGTAGATAATCAATCTTTGGCATCTCGTAATGGTGATGGCTCTTCACTTGTGATTAGCCTACTCAGATGGTCAACAACCAAGTTTTCTGCACCTTTTTTGTCACGTATCTCCAAGTTGAACTCTTGTAATAAGAGTATCCATCGAATGAGTCTAGGTTTCACATCCTTCTTTGAGAGCAAGTGTTTGAGAGCTGCATGATCAGAATAAACAATCACTTTAGTCCAAGTAAGTATGGATGAAATTTCTCTAAAGCAAAAACAACAGCTAAAAGTTCTTTTTCTATTGTTGAATAGTTGCTCTGGGCACTATCAAGCGTCCTTGAAGCATAAATATATGACATGAGAGGCTCTTCCAATTCTTTTCCCAAGAACGGCACCAACTGCGTGATTGCTTGCATCGCACATGATCTCAAATGGGAGGCTCTAGTATGGGGGCTGAATAATTGGTACCGAAGTCAACATATCTTTTAGATCATCAAATGCCTTTTTGCATGGCTCATCGAATTCAAATGTCGCATCTTTTTGCAGTAACCGACATAGAGGTTGAGTGATCTTGGAGAAATCCTTGATAAAATGTCGATAGAATCCTGTATGTCCAAGAAAAGAGTAAACTTCTCGCACACTGGCAGGGTAAGGCAGTGATTTAATTACATCTATCTTAGCCTTATCAACTTCAATACCCTTAGAAGATACAACATGACCTAGAATAATACCTTGATCAACCATAAAGTGGCATTTTTCATAGTTCAAAATAAGGTTTGTTTCTGTGCATCTTTTTAGTACTTTTTCTAGGTTAGCCAAACATGTATCAAAAGAATTACCATAAACTGTAAAATCATCCATAAATACCTCTATGATGTTCTCCACATAATCTGCAAATATACTAACCATACACCTTTGGAATGTGGCAGGGGCGTTGCAAAGCCCAAACGATATTCGTCGGTATGCAAAGGTACCAAATGGGCATGTGAATGTGGTTTTCTCTTGGTATTTAGGTGCGATTGGAATTTGATGAAAACCTAAATAACCATCAAGACAATAATAGTGAGTACGAGCCGCTAAACGTTCAAGCATTTGATCAATAAATGGAAGAGGAAAATGATCTTTCTTAGTTGATGCATTTAGTTTCTATAATCTATACAAACTCGTCACCCGTTTTGAATTCGAGTGGGCGCCAACTCACCATCAGGATTTTTAACCACAGTTATACCTGTTTTCTTTGGAACCACTTGGTCTGGACTTACCCATTTACTATCCGAAATTGGATAAATCATACTAGCATCGAGGTGTTTCAAGATCTCTTTCTTTACAACTTCCATCATAGGTGGGTTCAATCAACGTTGGGCTTCTCTAGAGGGTTTAGAATCTTCCTCCAACAATATCCTATGCATGCATGTGGAAGGGATCAATCCCTTAATGTTAGTTATACTCCACCCAATAGCTTCTTTATACTCTCTAAGTATTCGAATAAACTTTTCTTCTTCTAAGCGAGAGAGTTTGTTGGAAATGATAACCGGAAGAGTTTCCTCTTCTCCTAAATATGCATATTTTAGATGATTTGGCAAAGGCTTCATTTCTAATTTCGGTGTCTGCACAAGAGAAGGAAGAAGTTTGGTGTGATAAAGAGGCAACTCAACATAAGATACATTATACCTCATAGGTCTGAGTGATTCTAGTTCTTGGATTGTATCTTGCAAATCAAGATCCAACACAAACTTTTCCATGATTCCCTGCAATCCTTCAGGAGTGAAATTCATGTTGAGTGCAACTTTCACCATCAGAAATATTAAATTTAATAATTTCACCATCAAATTGCATGGTAAGTGTACCATCATTTACATCAATTTTTGTCCTCGTTGTTTTCAAAAATGGCATTCATAAAAAAATTAATGTTGATTTAGAAGGATCATCTTCTTGCATATCAAGCACATAAAAATCTGCAGGAAAAACCAATTCATTAACTTGTACCAAAACATCCTCTAAAACTCCCTCAGAATATACATTAGATCTGTCAGCTAATTGAATAATCACTCCTGTCTATTTCAAAGGACCAACATTCAAGGATGAGTAAATAGAAAGAGGCATGACATTTATTGAAGCTCCCAGATCTAACATTGCTCTCTCAATCCTTACGTTGCCGAATTTACAAGGGATAGTAAACATACCTGAGTCCTTGCACTTGGGTGGTAATTTTTTCTGGAGGACAGCTGAAACATTCTCCCCCATACTTACCTTTTCATTACCCTTGAGCTTTCTCTTATTGGTGCATAATTCTTTAAGAAATTTAGCATATCGAGGTACTTGTTTAATTGCATCAAGTAAAGCAATATTTACCTCGATCTTATGAAATGTCTCAAGAATTTCTTTCTCTTCTTTTTCTTTCTTGGACTTAGCAAGTCTAGCAGGGAAAGGAGGATTTATGACCAATTCTTTCAGTTGTTCGTTTTTGAGTCCTTTGGGTTGGTCTCTCTGAGTTTGGGGAGCGACAACTTCTTTTTCAGTTTTCTTCCTATAAGGCTCTTCCATGTGCTAATGGACAAGGTTCCTTCAACTCCTTCCCACTTCTCAATGTGATTGCACTAGCATTTTGCTTTGGATTAACAATGGTTTGTGGAGGCAACTTACATTGGGATTCCAACCGACTCACGGAGGATGCCAATTGACTCACTTGATTCTCCAAATTTTGCATGTTCATTCTTGTCTCTTGCTGAAATTATTGTGTATTAGTTGCAAGTGATTTGAAAATTTCTTCTAGAGACATACCTGGCCTTGAAGAAGACAGCTCAGGTTAAAAATGTTGGAATTACGAGGGTCTTGGTCCATAGCTAAGGTTAGGATGATCCCTCCATCCTGGATTATAAGTATTTAAGTAAGGATCATAATTTCTTAGTGGTGGATTGGGAAACCTTCCAACTGCATTGGCGTACTCATGAGAACATCTTGAAGTGTAGGGCACAAGTTGGTTAGGTGATCGATCGCAGCACATATCCCACAAGCTTTCACGTGTTGCATTTTTCCTACAACTAGTTGTTGAACAAGGGAGGTGAGATGCGATAATTGATGTTCAATGGAGGACGAACCTACCTCATTCACCCTTCTCGAAGAAGTGTCTTGCCTAAAGCCAAATTGTTGTGAATTGGCTTCCAGGATGGAGATCAATTCCCTAGCATCGTGAGGAGTCTTATTCACTATGGCACCTCCACTGGCTATATCCATCATCTTCCTCTCCACGGGTAGTAGTCCTTCATAGAAATGTTGGATGGGAAGTTGCTCAGGAATCCCATGTTGAGGACAACTTGCACACAGTCATTTGAATCTTTCCCAATACTTATGAAGGGTCTCAAATATCTTTTTGCTTTATTCCACATATCTCCCTTCGAATACCAACGACTCTTGGAGCAGGGAAAAATTTATTAAGAAACAACCTCACCATCTCGGCCCAAGTAGTCACAGAACCAGAGGATAGTTAGAAGAGCCAATCTTTAGCTCTATCGGTTAGCGAGAATGGAAAAGCGCACAGTTTTATTTGTTCTTCAGTCACTCCTTGTGGCCTCATACTTGAACATACCACGTGGAATTCCTTCAAATACTTGTGAGGATCTTCATTCTCAAGTCCATGAAAAGTAGGCAACAAATGAATCAAACCAGATTTTAATTCAAAAGCTACCTCCAAAGCAGGGTAGTAAATACAGAGCGATTGTTGATTCACATTTGGTGCAGCCAACTCTCTTAGAGTTATTTATTCGTTGGCCATTGTTCATTCTATTTCAGAATCGCTGGATGAATCAACCAAGTTAACTGCAGATTCGGATTCAGGGGATGAAGAATAAGAAGATTTTTTGTTGCACAAGTTAGTTTATTTTCTTAACCTGCGAGCAGTCTTCTCGATTTCAGGATCGTATTGGAGTTCACCTGCACGAGAAGAACGTGGCATCAAAATAAATCTAAATAACACCAATCCCCGGCAACGGCGCCAAAAATTTGGTGGGTGTCGAATCCAACAAATAATAATACTTGCTTTTGGAAATAGAAAATTGTAGTTGCGATAAGCAAGGTCGAATCCACAGGATTGGGTAGATTTATTTTAATGAAAATTAAAGCAAAGAAAAGGGGTTTTAAAATTGAGAAAGAAAAAAAAAAGCAGATCTAATCGACTAAAAATTGAGAGAAATTAATATTAAGTAAATATCCAACTAAAGGTATAATTTCAGAATTGGTTCAGAGAATTGATCATAGATGCAATGATAAAATCTTATACTTTTCACTAAATTGGTTATGGTTATTGAGTAGCTCTAACAACCTGTCTCTCCTTAGTTTCTCGATAATCAAGAGAAGCTCTTTGATTATTTCCCTAGTTAATGAACAACCCTAGACAAGCTCTTAAGATTTAATCCACCAACAACATTAATCACTAGAGGGACCACCAATTATAGCCAACGAATACACAAGCTCGATTCATTTAGACTAGGTTATATACCATCATAACATAATCATAATCAACCATGTTACTTTACCACTAATATTAGAACGTTTAAACAATTACGGATTTAAAGTTCTAAATGGCAATTTATCAACTTGATAATTGAACAACGGATCCTTTGCACAATCAATCAAGACAATAATTCTTAATAAAAACAGAAGATATATAAATAGAAAGAAGTAAAAGAACAATGAAAATTATTTAGATCTCAATCCTTGAAGAACCAAGCTTCAATTATCCTACAGTTGGAACAAAAGTATTTAGCTACTCATAATTGAAAGAAAACTAAAAGAAAATAAAGAAAACTTAATGTAAACCTTGATGTAAAACTAAAGGCCCTAGCTCCCCTTTATAAGGAT